TCTAGATTTCAGCTCAGGAAATGATCTCAGGGTGGTGGGACTGAGCCCCGCATCGGGCTCCGTGCTCAGCGCTGAGCCTGCTTGGGATTCTCTCTCCCTCTCCTTCTGCCCCTCCCCCCAATCACTCTCTCTCTCTCTCTCTCTCTAATCTTAAAAAAAAAAAAGATGGATGACAAAGTGGAAAAATATTTTCAATTTATTCCACAAAGAACAAATCTCCCTACTACACAAAGAACTCCTAGAAATTCATAAAACAACTAAAGGAAAAAAAAAAAAAGAAAGAAAACTGCAGCAAAGGTTAGAAACGGTTCACAGAAGAGGAAAAACAAGTGGCTCAAATATAAAAGTGCTCAATCTCACTCATTAGAAAAATGCAAATTAAACCTAGACTCATATACCATGTTTTATCCTTCAGAACGCCCAAACTCTCAAAGTTTTATTTTGTGTTGGCAATGTTGGGAGGAAACAGATTTGACAAGAGCTATCACAATTACAAATGCCTCTTCCTTTTGAACCACCAATTTCATTTCTAGAAATTTAATGTACACATACTCTGTTCATCTGCGAAAGGATACTTGCACACAGGTATTCAGTGCAGCATTATCTGTAACAGCAAAAGACTGGAGATGACCAAACGTCCATCAATAAAAAAGACTCGCTAAACAAAGTGTGGTTCTTCTGTATAAGGCACATACACAACATACACAGCTGTGAGAAACGATAAACTCTCTGTACAGATCCAAGAATAGATCTCCTAGATATCTTGTTCATTGAAAACGGCAAAATGCACATCAACGTGGATAACCTGATACTCTGTCCATGAAAGGGGGGCAGATAAAGAATATACATTTGTGTTTGCATATACACACATATTTTGGAAAGACAGAGGAGAAATTGACAGTAATTACTGAGATTATTGGATGGATATGGGAACTGGACCTTTCATTTTTTTTTTAAAGATTTATTTGAAAGAGAGAGCAGGAGCCGGGGGAGGAGCAGAGGGAGAGAGGGCGAAGTAGGCTCCCCGCTGAGCAGGAAGCCCGACTCAGGGCTCCATCCCAGGACTGAGAGATCATGACCCGAGCTGAAGGCAGATGCTTAACCCACTGAGCCACCCAGGTGTGCCTGGACTTTTCATGTTATGCCAGTGGTAGAGTCTGCCTCTCTCTTCTTCCCTGAGCAACAGATCTTTCTGATTGTAGCTCGTCACACAGTCACCTCGTTAAGGACCACAAATAGCAGACCTTCTTGCTGCCAGGCGTGGCTACGAATGAAGAACTGGCCAATCGCATGTAAGGAGAAGGGATGTGTTTAACTTGGGGCATGCCTGTGTTTTTCCTTTGCCTGCAGGCGGCAAGTACATGACCTGGTGACAGTGGGTTGGCTTCTACCACGCGGGCAAGGACAATACTCTAGGAGACAGGAGCATTCAAGACAGAAAGACTTGGGTCCCAGGATGACCCCGCAGAACAGAGACATCTACCCGCCCCCCCCCGGACAATTTGTTCCCCCCTCCCCCTGGGACTGTTGTGCTAGAAAAGCCGTACGTCTGTCTCCTTTGAGTTACCGTATCTTGGGTCTCTTTGTTGTCGCGGCTAAAGCAGAAGACGGTACCTAGAAATGAGTTACCCCATATCAGAAAACATTGTGGCCTTTGGCTCAGCAGCTGGCAAGGGAAGGGGGTGAGAAGAGGTGTTGCAGCCCAGAAAGCTGGGAGCCCTTTTTACACTGTTGCCCAAACTTGTTGGAACTGCAGTAACTTGGAAGACAGGCCCTGTGTCACCCGAACTTGTAACTTCAGGGGAAACAGAAATAAAATGTTGATTGCTCCTGATTTTCAGGGAGCCAGTACAAGAGGAAGATGCAAACAGGCAAGAACTGGCCGGTTTGCAAGCTGAAACGGAAGGGAATGCAGCCGAAGGGCGGTGTGTTCTGAGTCTGCAATACAAATTCAGACTCCAACTGTTTGGGGATCCCAAAGGACTGGGGAAGCCAACTGCTTTTGTACCCCAAAAGCAGGAGGTAAGAATTTCTCCCAAAGCTTCTATGAAAGTCTCCAGTTAAGAGTGGAGTCACGGGAGTCGCGCCCATTTGCAAAGATCAGATTTAGGGTGCAGCCTCGGGGGTGGTTGCCATTAAAATGAGGAAAAGATGGATAGGCCAAAACCAGAAACCAGTAACTAGTCTGTAGTCCAGTGATTTAAAAACTAAGACCCCAAAGAAATTTTGGCAGTGGATACTTTATCTGGAACTGACTGGAAGCAAACAGACCAGAAGCCTATTTAGTTTCTGAGGGACCTGTATTGCCACACAGAAATCCTGGATTTTAGACTAGAAGCATTAAATGGATGAGCCTCTATGAGGTCTCTCTTGGGATTGGAGGAATGTTCTCTAGTGTGAGAAGAAGAGTGCACATGGATATCTGAATAGTCAGAGGGGCTGCTGATTTTGCCCCCAAATCCATCTGTCCTGTCCCTTTCTCGTTTGCAACAGAACCACTCGATTTTTAACTGATCACAGGATCCAACCTAGAGACTACTTCTTCCAGTCTCCTTTGCTGTTAGGTGTGTCTTTGTGATGGAGAACTTAAAAATGGTATGTGAGAAGTGATGATACAATTTCAGGGGCTCTCCCCCTTCCCTCTGCGCTAGATGCAAACAATAGTGGTGAGCAGCTTTGAACACTGGAGAACATCTTAGAATACGAACTTCACTCTTAGGATATGGTAGAACAATCCAAGTGAAGAAGTGTGGGTCCCTAAACAATTGTAGGGAACAGCAGGCTTCCCACCTTGAGCATTGCCCACCAGCAGACTATTACATCAGAAAAAATCTTCTAGCTTATTTGAACCATTGTATTTTGGGGCCTCTGTTACTGCCATTTAGCTAGGACCCTAACTAATATAATGCCACCTTATAATTTTTAACATTTGAGCCATGAGAAAATAATGTCTACTTGGGAAAATTATTTTTTTTTCCCCAAAAGGAATAATTTTTTTAAAAGTGTCAGGATCCCAATAAAAATGTTTTTTTAACTCCATAATCTTACTTCTGAGACACAAAGCTGAGGAAATATTTCAAGAACAGAAAAAGAAATCTATATGAAAGTGTTCTCTGCAGTTCCAGAGTGCAGAGGAACAATTAAAAAAAAAAAATTAGAAACATGCTAAATGCTCAACCACAGGGAACAATCAAGAAAACTTATGGGACAACTCTAGCATTATAGAGGTATTAAAATAACCATCAACATGATAAATGCGGCGGGCGAGGCAGAGAAAACGTATGTATAACCAGTGCATAAAAGAAACAAACGGAACGGGAAAGTTGAATATTTTCTTACAGGTGGAACGGTTCCTGAAATTAAAAATAAAAGACATATCTCTAGATCAAAAGGGACAAACTATCCCTGGAAAGAAAGTTCAGACACTTCACAAGTAAAGAATCTACAGGGATCTAGAAATCAGAGACTTCTCCAGACAATCAGTATCAGAAGACAGCAAAGCAATACTTATAGCATCCTGAAAGAAGGAAAGATTCCAGAACCTTCTACCTGCCCAGAGGAAAGGTGACAGACACGTGATTAAGGTGCAAGACCTCAGGGAAGGCAGCACCCACGATCCTTTCATGGGGGACAGAATAAAGCACTTGATGGCAAAACCCAACCAGCCAAGAAACAAATGCAATCAAGAGCTGGGGAACACAGCAAGCCACAGCCAAGCCGTGGCCATGGTGGTACACACGGAACCGAGACCAAAGAACGCTGGGAAGTAGGATTATAGAACTAAATACAGAATAGGTCTCACCATATGTAAGAACGGAGATGTGAACTAGGGCAGAGGAGCTGAGAGGCGGTAGATAAGATGGCCGACTGTGTCCACAACTGAAACACTGAAAACCACCAGTGACACTTATGCTGAGAATATATATGTTATTTCTCAAGAAAAATAAGAATGACACCCTATCTTTGTGGTTTTCATAATCTTTTTCCTTAACTTTGAAGGAATATTTCAAGAAATAATGTATCTTATTGTAAAAAAATAAAATTCACTTGAAGTTTGACAATTCCTTCAGTTTCATTATTCTTTTCCTCTGATCTCTATAAGGAAGATTGAATTCAACGTATTTCAAACTAGGCTGCTATGTGATAAAGTTAAATCCTCATAAAGCATTAATCCTATTTTTGTAAAACTATTTCAATTTTAGAATGGCATTCACTGAATATTCACAATGGATAGCTTGGTGTTGAAATTTAGGAGGATTTTTAAAAAAAACTCATTTATACTTTTATATATACTTTACATAATAAACTTTTTTCCCCATAAACAAATTTCCTGTTCTTTCAAAGATGACCAAGACAGTTATATAAGAAAGTTAAAATGATAAATTTTAAAAGGGTATAAAAATGTATGCAAGAGTATGATGCCAAATATATGTATTTTTTAAAAGTATACACACATGTATACCAGAAAAGAGGCAAAATGTGCCATAATTTTAATAATGCTTCAGGGATTAGGGATAGATTTCTCTGTCAAAATCTGAAATGAAATTAGAATTAAAAAAATGTATAAAATCATGAATAGTTTTGCTGCTTCAGTCAAAAGTTCCTTTCCAATTACCACAAGTAGTAATAAAAGCCCCAAATAATAAAGGGTTAGGCTTAAGAAGAGTTTAGAGTCTGTCTGCCTACCTGGGGCAAGGAGGTATTTCCCGCAGCTTAGGGTAAACAAAGATCATGTAACTGTCAACAGATTACGTCATTAAAACTGATGACAGTGTTAACACAAGCGAAGACAAACCCACCCTGCTTTCCCTGCATGTGCAGAATCTTTAGGACAGAAAGGCCACCCCCTGAGGCGTGAAGTGTGGCCATGGAGGTTCGTGGAAGACCATCTGCCCTGCTAGCACACAGACTTCATCTCAGAGAGCTCCTCCCTGCACCCCCCCCCCCCCCCGGTTGGCACATCCCCGTGGCCTCCCCGCACACGAATGCAAGCCACGTACCGAACCTGGTTCTCCAGGAAGTGCATGTACCGGTAAAGCAGGGTGTAGGACGGAGACAGGATGCCCACAGACTTCATTCGGGCGCCGCGCTCCAGCTCACTCTCCACAGGCATGTTGGCGAAGCAGGCCAGGCCGAAGAAGGGCCCCTTTCGGAAATAGCTAGAACGGATCCAGTGCGTAGCGCGGCTCACAATCAGAGAGAAATTTTGTTCAGCTTTGTTTTTTTAATTTGAGACGCAGTCCCGAGGAAAACTAGTAACGGTGTCCAGGGCCTGAAGATGGATTTTTAGAACCACAGGGGAACACTGGTCCAGGCCACTCAAACCCACAGACGAGACAACCGAGGCGCAAGGAGATTATGGGATGTGCCAAGGGTCAGCCCACGGAATCCAGGACCTGACCTTGGCAAGCCTGCTGCTCAGCCGCCCAGACCATGAACATACCCTTCTCCTCTCCTGCAACACAAGCCATGATAGGGAACCAGAACAAAGATTTCTCTTCAGACCCGTCTGGAATGGTACTGTTTTATGAGCATAAACCACGTTGGTTTCTTCCCTCACTTCCTGAGTCCCTGATACTTTTAATAGGGCGAGGACCAGAGCTGTCACTTTATTCCTTCCCCTTTCTCACACTTGTCCTGGTGGCAGCCCAGCGAGAAGATTCAAGCTACCTCGTTCGGCCCTACCCTGATGTTCTAGCCGTCTGTCCTCCTCACGTGGATCTTAATTACACAGCACTATAAACCGGCCTTACTAAAAGCTGGAATTTCAAGTTTTGGCACAAAAATGTCTTAAGGTAACCCAAACTGAACTGAAAGTCCGTTCTTTCAATAAAGCCAAACCTTAAGCGAGGTCTAGTATTTTCCTAAAAGGAGAGAGAACCTCTGATGGTTCTTAACTTTTAGGGGTCATGAAACCCATTGAGAACCTAATGAAAGCTGGGGACCTCCTTGCTAGAAAAGGGATATAAACACAAAACTACATGTATATTTCCTGGGCATTTCCACACACCTTTGGAAGCCTCCCTGAGGAGAGCCCTCACGCTCTAGGTAAAGTATGAGAGAAGAGGAAATGATACAGAGAAGATTTACATTCTGAAATACTTACATGAAGTCAGACTGAATTTTATGGGACCCACTGGCCATAGACTTGAACTCAACACCTTCAAGGTCAATATCTTGAGGTAGGCACCATTCCACCATGTTCCCTGCAGGGGGGAAGGGAGGAATCTAAGTTAAAAGAAACAAAGTCATTCAAAGAAGAGGGCCTTGGGCAGGAGCTGAGGGCATATGGCTGCCCAATACATGCGTTTCTGATTCGGCCACCAAGACGCTCAAGTGGGTCATCTCATCCACCACCTGCACGCTGGCCGAGTTCCCCGGTTACTCCAAAGCGCCAGGAGACCGGCCTTAAAGGAGCCTTCCATCTCCACCTTGAGATGAGCACAGTCTCCTGTCTAGCAAGGATATATGGTCTTTGGTGATGTCATTCTGCTTAATTACTTCCAAACCTCCTTCCTTTCACAGGCTCACTTCCAAGGGCGTGTTTTTACCCTCTCTCCCCATTTCCTTTCCTTAACCCCTGCCCCCGGCCCCAAGATCTTGCTCCATCTTGTCCTTCTACAGCTACTGACTTTGACAAACCTCAAAGTCTGTATTTTGATTCACATTTTCATTGACCTCTTTGTGGCATTTGAGAATTCCTCAAAAATTTGTTTTCCTTGATTCCAATGATAAACTACTACAGTTCTTTTCCTACTTCTCTGATCTAGGTAGCTGTTTCCTTCCCCAACTCTTTCTCCTCTCTCCCCAGGTGAGGCCCATATCCTAGGTTCAGCCATCCGTTCTTTGCTTCCAGAACCTTGGGGCTCATTCACTCGTCATTAATTACTGAGTTTCTACTGAGCTAGATGTTGGAGCTACAAAGTCAACTAAGACATAGCCCCTGACCTCAAAGAGATTAGAGTCCAGGGATAAACAAGGAGACCAGATGATTACACTTCCAGGGGATAAACGCCATGATAGAGGAGAACGTGGGATTTTAGAATGAAGCAGGCATGAGCATCCATCAGATTGAGGGAATCAGAGATATGCGCAATTAACAGCGTTATCCAGAGACTTGACAGAGCACCGTGGAATATTTCCTACTATTTTCTTGCATATTCAAAAATTTTCAAAATAGAAATACTAAGCTATGTGTGAGATTTCACTTTTATTTTTTTCCTAACAGCTTTACTGAGATACAATTCACATACCGTACAGTTTACTCAAAGCAAACAATTCAAGGGAGAGTTGTGTAATCATCACATTTTCGACTTTCTCCCATTTTTAAGTATGATGAAACAACGAGACATTGGAACTTGCTTCGTCACCCCTAACCAGCTGAGCGGGTGCCCTGCAGGGGCTGTCAGGAGCTGAGGGGCCTGGCCTGGCCTCCCTGCATGAGGCTAGACCGGTCACCTGGCGGTGGATAGTGCAGCAGTTAAACACGCACCTGAGCTTGGTTAGACTTGTCTTCAAGGCTTGGTTTTGTTACAAGCTGTGTGACCTTTGGTAAAAACCTCTTGGAGTCTTGGTTTCCCCATTGCAACATGAGGGCAATTCAGTAAGCGAGGAGGCTGACTCACCTGTAAGATCGCTCCCAGCTACTTAATTCCCAACTTCAGTGAAGGGAGAAACATAATTAAAAATAAATTCCTGAGTATCCAGTACCAGAGGGATCCGAATTCCCTGAAGACAGAGGCTTGCACGCTTCCCTTGTGCTGAGCACCTGGCAGAGGCCTCGGCGTTCCTCAGCGACTGGCCTTGGCCAGGTGGGAGAGAAATGCGTGCAATGACCCTTCCAAAGGCGGAGAAGGGTGGGAAAAGTTTGGGGTGCGGGGGGCAGCGGAAGCAGCAGGCCTTGGGATGGTCTGCCTGGGAGTGGACGGCGGCCCTGTGAGTATAACCGGGGTGGCAGGGATTGCGGGGTTTTCTTTTAGAACAAACTTCGTAGGCATGGGAAATGCCATCAGGAATGCAGCCAACAGCACTTGCGGATCATTGCTTGGCCCATCAGCGAGGTCGCGAATCCAGTCTCCAAACATGGCAGACAGCACAGAGGGTTACCCAATCCCATATTCACAGCCTAAGAGCTTTCAAATAGTTTACTTTCAAGAGAGGAAGCATGAATCTAATTGTGAGCTAAAACAAAAAGCATGGAAAGGGAAATGAATATTTTATAAAACAGGCGAGAAGGATGTTGTGTCTGGGTTAACGATAAGAAAAAGCACAGCACACTCCGAAAGAGGGGTGAACTTGGGGATAAAGGTATTCCCATATTTTCCCCTTACCATCCAGGCCTACTGTCTCCAGAGTTCAGTGGCTTTCTGCCTGTGGAGTGCCTCAGGACCCCCAGGGAACTTAAGAAGGTACCAGGGCTGACCCCAGATATACGGGATCATGGTCCCTACCTCGTGCCATGTGGGCGAGTCTGCTGGTGAGCTCCTGCTTCGGCCTCTGTGTACACGGCCCTGACCCTTCACGATGGCAGCAGATGGCCAGCCTAGGAAGGGACAGCCTGGGACAGAGCTGCGATGCCCCTCAGGTAGACTCTGTCCTCCTCCCTCACGGAACCTGCTTCCTCTCCCCGAGCTAACTGCGTCTCTTTCCTCCAAGCCGGCTGGTCCGTGACTGGTTAAAACTTTAACTGACCTCAACTTTTTTACTGGAAGCTAAGTACAGAAGAGCACACAAGTCTTAACTATCCGGCTCAGTGACTCTTCCCAACAGGCACAGAGCTGTGTAACCAAGCACCCAGCTCAAGCAGAACAGCCTCTGCACATCAGAAGCCTCTCTCCACGGGAACTGTTATCTTGACCTCTAACACTGTAAATTAGCTTGGCTGCTTTGCAATGTATATGGACACAATCATAGTTTGTACTCTTTTGTGTCTTCTTTTGCACAATACTTTTTTTGCAAGATTCATTCATGTTGATACACAAAAGCAATCGTCTGTTCATTTACTCCTTCCATCCTGCGCATGGAACACAGTGGCTATTTAACTGCTGATGCACTTTTAGCTTATTTCCAATTTGAAGCTATTACAAACAGACCACTGTAAAATTTCCTATGCTTGTCATCGGGTCAACACACGTGTGGCGGCTTTGTTAGGCGTCAAGCTGGCTGGGCTGAGCCACGCTGCTCAGAATTCCCTTCCTTGTATGTTTCCCGGTGAGACAGGCAATGCGGAAAGGAAGCGGTACGCATATCGTATTCACTCAGACGGCTGGTACAGAAGCGTCGGGCACCTCACGTGCATCGTGGCTCATCTGCAGGCCACCTCGACTGGGCGCGGGCAGCGAGGTGGCAGCCAAGCCTGTAAATGCTGGACCCACCCCTGGATCCTCTCTCACCTTCTCGGACTCCTAAGCCAGGTGTGTGCTTAGCTCCGTAACGAAGGGCATCAGCTTCATCGGGACACTCACATCATTAAAGCTGGAGGCAGACTGACCTGGGTTCCTGTACGTCCTCATGAGCGTCAGCTTCTCTCCATCTTCCCAACCATACTCTCTTCTTCCATGACTGCCCACCTGGTAGAGTTCAAGCTCCATCATCAGGTGGAAAGAAAGCAGCTTCACACAGACTGTCTAGCCAGCTCCCACAACTGGGTAAGACCAAATTCTTGCAATAAATCCCTTCAGACATCTTCTAGTGGTTCTGTTTCTTTGATTAAACTTTGACTGACATAATATGCACACATTTCTGTTGACTACATTCCTAGGAGTAGAACTACTGTAAAAATGTCTGCATCACTGCAAACTAAGAAACCTTTAATAATTCCCAAAGCAGTGTTTCCCAAAGCTTATGCTAATAGGGTTTCTGTGAAAAAGAAAACAATTTTTTTTTTAAGATTTTATTTATTTATTTGAGAGAGAGAGAACGAGAGACAGAGAGCATGAGAAGGAGGAAGGTCAGAGGGAGAAGCAGACTCCCTGCTGAGCAGGGAGCCCGATGTGGGACTCGATCCCAGGACTCCAGGATCATGACCTGAGCCGAAGGCAGTCGCTTAACCAACTGAGCCACCCAGGCGCCCAGAAAACAAATTTTTAAAAAGAGATTTCGGCCAAATTATCTCAGGTTAAACAAGGACAGACACATTACTGCAGAACTTCTCAGAGGCTTTAATACGTTACTCTGCATTGTGAATTTCTATGAGACCTTAATGTTTCCAAAATTTTTTGCCCAATAAACCTATTTTTAAGGAGCATCCTAAGGGACTAATTTTATAGAAGGCATTTTTTTTTTTTAAAGAAAATATGCTAGTATACAAGGAGATGCAAGTTGACCTCAGTATCCATTCTTCCTTTCTTACAGAGAATAGAATATCCTGTATTTAGCCAGGCACATGGTCTTTCAAATGACAACTCTGTTTCTCAGTACCTTCTTGCATGTAGGTAAGGCTACATGAGTCAGTTCTGGCCAGTGGGATCTGGACAGAAGTGTCTAGTTGCCAAGAAGTACCCCACAGGGAGAGAGTATGCTGCCCCTTCCTCCATCCTGCTGCCTGGGATGTGGTGACAAGCCATCATGAATCTAGGTCCCCAGATGAGCCCATGGATCTGAGCCAGCCTTCCAGCCCTAGGCCAGCTATCTCCTGTTGCATGGAAGAGAAATCGACTCCTATCTTGATGAAGCCGCTGTTCATCTGGGTCCCTGGGATTCACGGCCAATTCCCCGTGTCACTCAATACAACTGACCTGTAGAATGAAGCCCCCATTCCTCAGCCTGGTTCTCAAAGCCACCATCCTTGCTCCTTTGTGCCTGCCCAATCCTTACTGTACAGAAACTCAAAGACTCAGACAGAGGGAAATGACATCCTGGTAGTGACATTCTTAACTTCTAGATGGATGCAAGTCCCTCAGGGGAAAGTTCCATCGGGGGCAGGCTGGCGGATCATGGAATGAACACCTGCTCCAGAACATAGCTCTGGGAATAGTTCTCTTTATCTCGCAGGAAGGATGCTTCTGCTGACACACTCCTTCAACGAAAGGAAAGTAGATGAAGCTACTCTGGTCCTCACCCCAGAAAACATAATTACTGTCTAAGATGTCTATCTCCACAGGAGAAGGGACTCCTTCAAGACAGGAACTGTGCTTGTTTATCTTCAGATCCTAACACAGCACACTGCTTAGCCCAGGACAGGATGAGTATTAAAAATAATAATAAAGAGGCGCCTGGGTGGCTCAGTCGTTGGGCGTCTGCCTTCGGCTCAGGTCATGATCCCAGGGTCCTGGGATCCGGCCCCGCATCGGGCTCCCTGCTCGGTGGGAAGCCTGCTTCTTCCTCTCCCACTCCCCCTGCTTGTGTTCCCTCTCTCGCTGTGTCTCTGTCAAATAAATAAATAAAATCTTTAAAAAATAATAATTAAAAAAAAGAAAAAACAGCTTTATTGTGGACAGGCATTTTTTAAAAAAGCTAATCGACGAATTAATGTTAATCACCTTAGGGGTAATGATATTGTGGTCATGTAAGAAAATGTCCTTCTTCCTAGGACGTTTATACTCAAGAATTTAGGTGTAAAGTATCATCGTGTCTGCATTTGCTTTCAAATGGCTCAGGGGGGGAAAAAAAGTATTTCTGTATATAGTCAGTTCTGATATGATGCTTGCTGAATTAGTGAGATATTAGAGAACAATCTGAGCATAGGGAATTTCACATTTCCTTATGCTATAGATCCAATGCAATTTCAGTCAAAATCCCAACAAGTTATTTGTGGAAATTGAAAAGTTAATTCTAAAGTTCATATGGAAAGGCAAAGGCCCCAAATAATCAACACAATACTGAAGAAAAAGTCAGGAGGACTGACACTACCCAATTCCAAGACTTAGTATAAAAACTACAGTAATCAAGACAGTGATTAGGGGTGCCTGGGTGGCTCAGTTGGTTGGGCAACTGCCTTCGGCTCGGGTCGTGATCCTGGAGTTCCAGGATCGAGTCCCGCGTCGGGCTCCCTGCTTAGCGGGGAGTCTGCTTCTCCCTCTGACCCTCACCCCTCTCATGCTCTCTGTCATTCTCTCTCTCTCTCTCTCAAAAATAAACAGATTCTTTAAAAAAAAAAAAAAAAAAAAAAGACAGTGATTAGACAAGATTAGACAAACAGATCAAGGGAACAGAATACAGAGCCCAGAAATAGACCCATGCAAATACAGTCAGCTGATCTTTGCCAAAGGAGCAAAAGCAATACAATGGAGAAAGGATAATCTTTTCAACAATGGACGTCCACAGGCAAAAAAACAATCTAGATACAGACCTTATACCTTTCACAAAAATTAATTCTATATGAATAGTATACCTAATTGCAAAATACAAAATTATAAAACTTCTGGAAAGTAACATAGGAGAAAATCTAAGTGACCCTGTGTTTAGCAATGAGTTTTTACATATAATACCAGGAGTACAATCCATGAAGAAAAAAATTGATAAGTTGTACTTCATTAAAATTTAGAACTTCTGATCTGTGGAAGACACCATTAAGAGAATAAAAACAAGCCACAGACTGAGTGAAAATATTTGTAAAAACATACTTGATAAAGGCTTAAATCCAAAATATCCAAAGAGCTCCTAAAACACAACATTAAGAAAATATAGGGCGCCTGGGTGGCTCAGTTGGTTAAGCGACTGCCTTCGGCTCAGGTCATGATCCTGGAGTCCCTGGATCGAGTCCCACATCGGGCTCCCTACTCGGCAGGGAGTCTGCTTCTCCCTCTGACCCTCCCCCCTCTCATGCTCTCTATCTCATTCTCTCTCTCAAATAAATAAATAAAATCTTTAAAAAAAAAATTAAAAAAGAAAAAGAAAATATAAACACCCAATTTACACATATATACGTATATATACGTGACTCCTGATCTCGAGGTCATGAGTTCAGCCCCACACTGGGGGTAGAGATTACATAAAAAAAATAAAAAAATAAAATCTTTAAAAATATAGATATATTAAAAAAATAAAAATAAAAAATGGATGAAAGATTGGAACAGTCATCACACCAAGATATACAGATGGCAAATTAGCATAAGAAAAACATGCTCAAGGGGCGCCTGGGTGGCTCAGTCGTTAAGCGTCTGCCTTCGGCTCAGGTCATGATCCCAGAGTCCTGGGATCGAGCCCCGCATCAGGCTCCCTGCTCAGCGGGAAGCCTGCTTCTCCCTCTTCCACTCCCCCTGCTTGTGTTCCCTCTCTCACTGTGTCTCTGTCAAATAAATAAAATCTTAAAAAAAAATGCTCAAAATTATATGTCATCAGAGAATTCCAAATCAAAACAACAAGATTCTACTGCACACCTATTAGAACGGTCAAAATCCCAAACACTGAAAGCACCAAATGCTAACAAGGATGGATAGCAATGGGAAATCTCATTCATTGCTGGTGGGAATGCAAAATGGTACAACCACTTTGGAGGACAGTTTGGCAGTTTCTTACAAAACTAAACATTCTTCCCACACAATCAGGCAATCACACTCCTTCACAGTTATCGAATGAGTGAAAGCTTATGTCCACAAAAAGCCTGCACATGAATGCTTATAGCAGCTTTATTTATAATTACCCCAAAATGGAAGCAACCAAGGTGTCCTTCAATAGGTGAATGGATAAACAAACTGTGGGACATCCAGACAATAAAATACTATTTAGAAATAATGAGCTATCAAGCCACAAAGACATGAAGGCACCTTAAGTGCATATTACTAAGTGAAAGAAGCCAGTCTGAAAAGGCTACATACTACGTAATTCCAACTTTGTGACATTCTGGAGAGAGACAGTAAAAAGATCAGTGAATAAGGAAGGATGAACAGGTGGAGCACCGAGGATTTTCAAGGCAGTAAAACTATTTCTGTATGATACTGTTACGGTGGATACATAACATTGTGCATTTTTCAAACCCACAGACTATACAACACAAAGAGTAAACCCTAATGTAGACTATGGGCTTTAGTTAACAATTTATCAATATTGGTTCATCAATTGTAACAAACATCTCACAGGAATGCTAGATGTTAATAATACAGGAAACTGTGTGGGAAGGTGGTATAGGAACTCTTACTTTCTGCTCAGTTTTCCTGTAAATCTGAAACTGGTCTAAAAAAAAAGTTAAATTTAAAAAATAAATAGATGAATTTACCAATCCTAGGGTAATTAACCTAGGTTATGATATTATGGTTATATAGGAAAATGGCGTTATTCTAAGGAGATTTTTCCTGAAGTATTCAGAAATGAAATGGCACGCCTGGAACTTATTGTCAAATAGTTCAGCAGAAAAAGATAAGCATACCTATCTACATAGTCAGTTCTGCTACAATGCTGGCTGAATTTGTTCCAAAGCATTTGATACATTAGGGGACAATTTGATCACAGGGGATTTCCTGTTTGCTGATTCGTGATTTTGATCACAAGGGTCACAACGTGAATGCTGAAAACAGCACCCAGCTGAAATGAGCCGCACAGAAATACACAAAATGCACCCCCCTCCACACCTCAAGCACTCACGCGTTACCCGAGTTCACCGTTAGGAGCTGCACCTGTCATTTCTAGGGTCACTACTGTCCATCAAATGTCACACAGCCCTGCTTCCACGTCACTATAAATCACAAGCTCAATCCTTCCGACAACCACCTTCATACGCAAAGTCAGGCCTTAAGGTAAAGTGCCATACTTTGAGTATATATTTCTTAACTAGTTACGGTATGTAAAATTGTCCTACCATTTGTATTTGGTTCCCATCTTTTTTTAAACTTGTCACT